AATCCAGCCAAGTATTCTAGAGCAAAAACAGTTTGCTTATCGTTACATTAAAAACCTTTAAGGAAAACGTCCCAGGTACAAGTGGTAGTTTCCGAAACCGTTTACTTATCCCTCCTAGTATTTAAGAATGCCATTTAAATTTTAGCTCGGTCAAGCACGAATACACGAGTAAATTAGGAAACACTTCTGCAATAGATAGAGAAGACTTTGTACATAAACATGACATTAGGTTTTGTTTTGACATTAATTACGAATGTCAGATCACTTTGTTCTAAGGAAATTGACGTGAATGGCAGGCTGAACAGGCATCTGTGGTTACACCTGGGAGGTATAGCCATTTTAACCTTTTATTACTTTAGAGCTGACAAGGCCCGGATATCAGCAAAAAAAGAAAACACCCTATTATTACTACGATAAAATTTAATAAATTAATCCTGCTTTGAAGTCTGCAAATTATTCTTTGAATCCAGCAATACAATAATAGAAGGCCAGGTCTTGAAATTTTTGCGAATTCGCACACATTTATTCCGAACCCAGCATTTCTTAAACACGACGCCCACAGCGACGGCCTACTTTTCTTTTTGAAATTTCTTTTCTTAGGAGAGTTTACTGCAGGCTAAATCAATCGCTTGAAATCCTACAATGTTGCCTTACATTTGAATCATGCACCTAAAATTGCGGAAGACTGGTCACTAGCCAAATCACATTAGACCTTGTTAAATAAAATTGTCAGTCCGCATCATAGCAAAGTTCCATGGATTTTTCGCGACATAATGGCTAAATGCTAGAACGACCTGTGTTAAAAATTTAGAAACAAACGTATGGCACTGAGTCTAGGTAAAATGCTAAGGAAAAATGTCACTAGGCTAGGCCAAAAGACGTACTGTTTTAGACTGCTGTTATTGGTATGGATATTTTAATAAGTGAGAAGTAGGGTTTATTAAAGAGAATTATTTCTATGATCTGCCAACGTCATGGGAAATTTCCTGAATTGCAGGAAATATAATTGTTTGAAATTTCCCTTTCTCTAACCCAGTTTAAAAAAAATAAACCTCAAAGTGTAAATTACGATTAACTATTAAAATGAAGTTTTGAATTAATTAAGAAGCAGACTGATACAAGTGCTAGCAAAATTAGGGCGCTTGAAGGTTTTGAAAATGAAATCAAGATAATAAATACAGTGACAGTTTAGGTGTCTCTTAAGTTATACAAATTAAGATAAAGAGCTTTGATAATGTGCTAAAAATTAACTTTATTTAATTACAAATAATTTATTGCGGGAATATTTTTCTCCTAATTTTTCTGAGTGATTTTTGATTCGTACATGTAAATAATTACCTACACCATTCCTTCTGTTTCCTAAGTAACGCTCGAATAGATGTGCTGTACAAATATTTACTAGGCCGAAAATTTCATTCTGAAAATCCCGATGTGAGTTAAGCGTCCTGAAAATGTAAACTATATAAGTTATGAAATTTGCAGCACACCACTGAAGTGGGAAACATCACAGAGTGGGAATCCTACGTCTGCAGTGGATTGTCAGCCTGCCTAGAAAAGTATTAATTACACAGACTCTTCGTTATTTTTCATTGATTATTATTATCGGTTTCTTGCTGTTCACGCGCGCTCATCTACACAAAAAGACACTTGGCTGGCTTAACGCCTTGTCCACTGTCGCCTCTCTTCGCCCTCCTCTTGGGTTGCACCTTGCTTTTAACTAGAAAGTTGTAAGGTAGTGCTAAGACGCTGCACGTCTTTTGCTTTTACAATTTTTTTTACTAATTGTGACAATTTACTGTTTTTGATATTTAGTAATATTTTTACTTCATGTCTGTAGAAGCCGAGGTAAGACTGTTCTCATGGACAAAAAGGTTATAGGCTTTAATAAATTTTAGACTTGTACGATTACCTTTATCCCCTATATTTGAATGCTGCTTTTTCAGCGAGATGGCGTGTGGAGACATCAAAACGATTTGAGGAAATACCATGCATCATTTACTATGTGCTCCTGAAGGGCGTAGTAGTTTGGGTGGTCTGCAAGTGTGGTGAAACGCAGCTATTTGGAATTTGCAACAGCCGCTCTGACTATGCAAATAATGTAAGCAAATTTTTACACGACAACAGGGACCATCATATGCACTTTAGCTTCATGAAAAATCTAACGGCCTTCATCTGATCAATGAAATAAAGGGTTTTGTTTTGACTATCAGTTTAGTTTCCTGATCACCCTACAATAATTTGTGGGCATCATACTTTTCAGCCCCTTTCAAAACAGCGATTTTCTTGGGATTTTGAAGTAAACAGTGTGTATTTTAGTTAGGACTGCTGTTTACCTAAATGTTGAACTGTTTTCAGTGGAGGTTCACTGGGTGGGTGGCCATTTCATGAACTTGCCGAAATTTCGGCTTACGTTGAGTGGGTCACGCCAGTCATGAAAGTACCCCGAATGCCTGGGTGTGTGCGAAGGTGTTTAAGCAGGATGGAAACAGCCACTGCTTCGACGTGAACATTCCTCCTCTGTGTAATTACCTGCTTGGCCACTCCGGCACCCTTCTTCGGAGCTCATTGCATAGGGTAACTTTGTGGCATTTGCAGCAGTAGCGTTCGATATCCGACCCACCATGCACAGTGATTTGAAGGACTTAGTATTATTGTTTAAATGAATGCTAAGAGAAGAATATTAACATCAATGCAATTATTAGTAGTAAATTAAGGAAAGTACAAGGTGGGCAATGTTATTTACGCCACATTGACTGTAAATTAGATATATGAATTACTTATTAACGTATGTTTACTAATTTAATTGCTCAATCCTATATTCTTAGTAAGTAGGCTTGCGTCAAATAGAGACAAATTTGTCCTACATATGCAACAAAATTCAATAAAAGTGGGCTCAATGTTACAGTTGCCGGTTTGTTGTGATAGGGAGCCTCTGCGAATGCCAACAGTGATGCAAACGCACCCGTTTATTCACCCACAAAACGGCATTGTACAGAGTTATGTAAGCAGTGTTCGGCTTAAAGATAACATGGAGAGCAAACTGTGTCACAAGGTGCCAGGTTAGTAAATGCACCCATTTCCCTACAAGATAAGGAAGCCTAACAAAGGAGTGGAATCTGTAAGAGTTGGTAACGCTTGCTTTGCTGACAATCAGCCAACTTGTCCAAGATGCCTCATGGTTGAGCACTTGCGCCCTATTTTGGGGGAAAAAGAGTTCATGTAAACAATTTTTCAGTGAACCAACTTTAAACCGGAAAAGCCATTCTAGATCAATTTTTGTACAAAAACGAAATGTAAACCTAGCAGGTTATTTGGGTGTCTTCAAAGTAATGAACCTTCCCTTCGCCACTGATACGGAGAAACAAATCAAATTTTGAATGGATGATCTACAGAAAAGTCAAAATTATTATAACCATATGAATAAGTACAATAACAGTGCTTTGTAACTGCTCTAGCCGCACGTATGTGTACCTAGATGTGAAAATTTTACCGAGTCAGAACTGGGAGAATCTCATTCCCGAAATAAACATTTTCTCCATAAATTAAACATTATTTATTAATAACGTATGAACTCCGTTCCGCTTCTAATATTCTCCCAAACATATGGGGAAGTTAAAAGTATATCTAACTAAAAGGAAACCATGTGGTCTCGGTCAATGCTTCCTTTTGGCATTTATTAACAACTGTTTTACGACACACATTTAGTTAAATGTTCAGGAATTTGTTCTCTATTCTTAGGCTTTCATTCCGTTTACCTACGTCACTTGTAAAATCGAGGGCATGTAACAACCATACCGATTATGGCTTGTAAGCTGACGTTCTTTTCCTTGCATGACGTACCACTAGGCAATCAGGGGTATTAGCAAAAGGGGGTCACGTGCGTAATGAAAGTCCTTTACAAGTTTCCGATCGTGGTTTATCACGTGGTATGTCAAAAGGGAAATTTCCTGGCCAGTTTTTCAAATGACCTTTTTAATGCAAATAGGTAGGAAGTAAAGTTGCCGCTTTAACGTGATCCCTGGTCGTAATAAGTGCCACTGAAGGCGTAGCTGTCCCCACTAAACAACCCGGAAACCGAATTTGGCAGTCTCTCTGTGGCTGCGGTAATAGCTAAAACCTATGTCAAGTTATCTTCCAGGTGGCTGTGATTATTGCGCCCTTGGACAGTTGCAACACAGAGCAATTTCTCTTTCTAAAGTTTTGCGAGCACTTTGTTTTCTAGGTCAAGTGAGCTTGACGAATATTAAAAACCATGTGCCCAAGTAGTGCCACAATAATTCGTTCAAAAACATGATGCTATTGTCTGTCCCACGCATTTCAATCTTGGTGAGGCCAGAAAAGCCATTCAAATCATACAAGTTTGCAACCACATTGCATGATTCAAACAAGGAGTCAGACTCATCATTCAATACCCACTTGGCTAAGTGAGAACCATTAAGAGGTCCTGCCTACATTCCCCCTTATGCAGAGTTGTACCTGGCACGGCAGTAAATTATTTTCTCTCTGTGAACGAGACTTAACTGCTCATTACCTCTTCGTATATTCCTTCCGCTAAAATGGGCGTTGGCTGATTTTTTGCATCATCCCTCTTATTGATATTCAACCCATTTCATTAAAGATATTTGAAAACCTGTGAATTCACTCAAAATAAGTGTCCTTTGATGGCTTTTCGATTTTCACTAAACTGGCTTATTTACTTCCTGATAAGATTACGAGATGCCCATGAAATTATGTTGAAATATTAAACTGCAGTCCCATTATGCTTAATTTATTTCACAATCTTGTGAATTTCTTTCACAATAATTGTCCACATGAAATAAATAAGGACAATCAAAAGCTTCATTAGATAAATTTATTAGAATTTGATGCGATAAATGCATTGTGGTTTGCAGCGGTCCATGAATAGGTTCATATTTTATAATCATTGGCAAACTATTCCCTGAGAATAAGGAGGGCGTGGGTTGAGTGAGGTTGATGTTTCAATTGTGGGCAGTGCGGATCTAGGCTTCACAAGGGTGGCACCATTCAGCAACGAAATACTTCATCTTTTCTTCTCCCTTCCAAACAACGTCGTAGAGTTCTGGTGCGAATGACCTTGGCTCCTTCCCTCGCCGGCCTGAGTCCAGCCGCATTTCACAAATTGTTTCTGCCGTCCTGCTCCGACGAAATTCCAGACATCTAGAGGCCTCACGATTTGCAATGGTAATCCAATTTGCCTTCGGCAGCCACCTGACTAATTGACCAAACTCCTCCTTGCTTAGAAAAGGCTGATAGATGCAATCAATATAGAGGTATTTCAGGGTCCACGAACGCGGGCAAAGTAGACGTGCATTTGGTCCACTCTGAATTCGCAATGAGTCAACAACTAAGCAAAGTACTTCCAAACTGCAGGATAAGAGGATTTCCTGGATAGCTAGAGCATGCGTCTCCATAGAAACCGGCCATCGATAGATATAAAGACGTTTCAGCTCAGGACAAACATGTGCAACCTCCCTTAGGTCATCTGGGTCTAGGTGGCTGTCCGATGCAAGGACAAGTTCTTCAAGACTGCAGAAAAGCCCACAGATATTTTTTAATGGCAGTGTATGCGGAATAGTATCGAGGCAATGACAGGAGTGCCACCTGGATCGGTTGCAGAAGGGGAAGGTTGGTGGAGATGTGATTGAAACAGATTTTATTGAAGGGTACATTCCACGCTGGAAAACCAAGAATGCTTCAAAGTCTGCATCAACGCTTCTAGAATCGATTAACTCGACAGGAAGCTCAAGTGCCTTCAGTGAAGGCTTTGAACGTTTAAGGACCGGAAATAAGTGTTCGCGACAAAGAGCCTTAAATCGCCTTAGGAAATCGATATATTCGATGTGGCTTTCGGGTATTACCAAATGCTGCACGGTCACGACTAAGGTCGAAACTGGGTGACCGAATTGACTCATAAGGGAAACCGCTGAAGAAGTGGAGTAATTTATGTTATCGGGAAAGAAAATAAGCTCAAGCTTGAGCAACCCCCTTCCGACAGGGATGCTGCGGCCAACTTGAATTACTTGATTACTCGCGGCCGATGACATCCCTTCTGTTGGCTGCCCAAATCCAGAAAAGGCAATCTCTAGAGGATTCAAAAATCTCCTGCTAAATGTTGTTAATGTCTTAAGGCTGGACATAGTCCCGATGTTAACAGACCTTAATTTGGGGAAGAATGACGCCTCGTTAATAAATAGCATTTCGTTCACGGCATTGAGCAGATCGCTCTTAGCATCAGTTTGAAGGCTTTCAAGGTTTCTAAAAGGCCCTGTCTGTCTTAGATACTGCGACCAAGGAGTTTTGCCGACCATCCTCTCACAGACTGTTAAATGAACGACGTTCTGCATAAGTTTTAAGAGAACACGAATATATTCTCCTCTTTCGTCTACTAGGGAACACGTTAAGTGGCACTTCATCACCTCCAGCCGTGGGGGGACGAAGATGCTTGGGGCTTGTCTGGTTAACAAATTATCACTGGAATCCGGTTCTGTCGGGCGAACTGAAAGGTATCGAAGTTGAGGGAAAGCGGGTGTTGTGAATATTTCTAGTAGGCGGTCTATAGGTTGCATCTGGACACTAAGGTCCAGTCGTTGAAGACGCGAGAATGCAAAAGGGTTGGAAAGGATGCATTTTTGGATGCTACCGACTGCTCCACCTTGAGCTACTGGACCTGGGCTTGTGAGGCGGAGTGTGCGGATATGTTGAATGAGATGTCGTCGAAGAAGGAATAAAAGAGTTGGTGAGCCATTTTCAGAAAGGAGGATTTCGTGAGGGAAACAGTAGTTCCAACTGGGAAAAGCACTCACGAAATTCAACCACTCGTTGAGAGTGAGGTAATGTAGTATGCGTTGGATGATTTGAGGTCGACAGAGGATAAGTTCCTACAATTGAACAGGAAATATTAGTAAAAGGTCCTTTTGGCTTGGATGTTGTTCCAAAGCAAACGTGACGTGAAGACAAACTCTATTGGCATTCTCAAGTTTTGTTTAGACAGAACAGTAGAACGCCAATTCTGGGTTGTGAAATAATAATGGATTGGGTCATGAATATGGATATTTCTTCAGACAACCTCAAGGACGATTAACTAGACTTACAACTAATGGAATGTCTACACATTTGCGTTTTTAGACGGTATTTATTTTCTGTAAAATCTATGCCCCAATCTGGGGCGAAAGAGACCTGGTCTGAGACCCATGCAAGTTGATAATTTGCCATTTTTGAAGCGTTTAGGCTTCCTTTCAATTCCCTCGATACAAATTTAACTGTCCAGATGGTAATGTCGTTGACTGATTCATTGAGCCTAGTTTGACCACCGAACTAGGCTAATTTTAGTCAACAATCCATTTGCTTTAGAAAAATTACCCGCACATTTCAGCACATCGGCTAGTTTGGGGAGCAGAAGCTTAAACACATAAGGGCCTTCGAGGCTTCTGCATGAAACAGCAAAGTTGATTTTTGCCACTTGTTTTAATTAGCACCATTAGCAGTCTGTAAAATTAATGTCTTTTGCAACTTACTGATTTGCTGGAAAGTGTTCTGCGTATGGCCTGTGACCTCTTCTAATACATACTGATTTCGTTCATTTAAAAAAAAAAGAAGACAAAATACCACAAACTGGGTGTCTGCAGGGTCGTGGGAAATAATCACCAATCTCAGCACCTGAATTGGATGTGAATAGCAGTTCCCAGGATGGTAGCTACATTTTAGTACTGTATGGACAAATATTTATTTAGTGAACTTGCCTGTGCAAGTGGATTACAGGTTGGTTCAAGCGCTAAAGGCGTTAGAATGGATGTGCACAAATCAGACTTACACCAACTTCCTTGCTTTGACAAATAAATTAATGCATAGAATAATCTTTAGGGATAAGTTGTAGCAAAATTAGTAATTTCTTTAACAGCCATTGGAAGTTTCTTACTATTTTTCAAAGATAGCCGTGTTCTAGGACATTAGGCCCATCACACTTGGAGAAGTAAGAGGAGCGCATTTAGGAGTATATGGAAGACACCATTTTGGTTTTACACATTCGGCATTTTTTTGCTAGGGAAGATAACCGTTCTTGCTTAAAAGTAGTATATTTTAAAATGTTGCCACAATTCGGTCCTTATTCCAAAGGACGCCTGTGCCAAAAAACTAGATATACTTTGGTTTACTGTGTTTCATCAGGACTTAAAAAAGCCCCTTGCTGCAAACCCAGTTTGTGTGTTAACACAACCTATTGGTAACCACTATCATACATTACAAATTTAGTAACTTGTTTTAGACCAGGCCATCGCTTGCCACTGATAACTCCCTTAAGTTCATGTATAGAATAGCCGTTGAATATTTAAAATCGAGCATGATCGCCAATTCATCTTATTAGTGGTCTCCTTAACCAACTTTACATTGGTTTGTGGTGGTACGCAGTGCAGCTAGAGTTAGGATTAAGGTATGAAATGGAAGACACAGAACCTGACCTTTCATTAAGGACTAATTGCGTCGAATCTAAATTATCACGTCCGCGAAATGTGCAACACCATTAATCACAGTCTGCGTAATCATTAAGTCCGCCATATATCTATCTTAAGTGTGTTTAAGAAAGTTGTTCTTCCCGGACCATACTTGGCGTCTTAAGCTGACGAAATTTAGTGAACAGATGCTTTAAATTTTTATGCAGACAGGAAGTTGCGTTTACCCAATAAAAATAACGACTCATTACGTCACGTTCTTAGGTACAGCTACCTTAAATGTCCAACGTGCAAATTAAAATTATCGGGTCAGTTGAAAATGCTTTCTTTTAGAAATTACTATGGGATAATTTATTATTGTATTAGTTTTATTAAAAATGGAAGGAATCCAGAAAAATCATGCAATCCAGTTGCGATATCCCCTAACTGAACTCTAGTTCAAGAATCCCTCCAATATGCTCCGGTCATTTTCAGCAGAGAAATGTGCATACAAGGAATAAAAAATAGACGTGAAAGGTTCTTTATAGCTTTACTGCAGTTTCTTTTACTTTACTACCATTACTTGCTGCTATTTTCTATTATCCATTGTTAATACTGGTCGCTTAATGGTTGAGAATGCTTACTGTCCCACAGCCTTTGACACAGGCACTTGATTTCAGTGCGCCAACCCACGTCAGTGCAGTAGAATTGCATTTTTAAATTTGCACTAAGATGTCCGAGCCAAAGAAGAATCTAACATTTTGCGCTTGCCTGCCCACTTTGATATTTGGTTGTTTAGCTAGCCATAACTAAAGGAGTGTGGCTGATATGTCTGGGACGTCATTGAAGGGAACGCCAGTAAGTAATATAGCGACAGCGAAGGAATGGCCACCAAAAACAATAGACACTTGATCAGTGCAAACAGTTGCTTTACGGGTTATTGGAAATGCAGCGTTAGGTACACAAAATCCTGATCGCTTTTGCACTCCAACTAAGGTCATGCCTTTCTGTCAAATAGTAGACGGTCTCCACCCAACACTTAGCTGTGGTGTTAACAAAATTTAAGATCTAAGCCTTTCTTCTTTCCGAAAACCCGCACCTCCAAATCTTTGGTTGCTTGAATATTGGTGCTTTGTTTGAAATTAATTTCTTGTTTTTGTTTCTGATTAAGCTACGATTCTAAAGGAAACGCTTCGAGTCTGATAATTATAAGCAGTGTTTGTAAGCTCATAAGGCTGTTAAAATCTTACCAGACTTTTCAGACGCTTCGTATTTTCCATTAAACTGGCTTTGCAATGGGGTCAGCCACCGGGGATCTGGTGAAATAAATATACACAACGGCGCGCGCACACACGCCTAGTCCAAAGCGAACCAGGGATTGAACGGCCTTGAAAATGGCTCTGACGATTGGTCAGCGGTTATAATTTTGTGCCTGTGCTTGCGGGATAGCGCAAAAACTACCTGCGTCTCAGAACCGGCAGTTCAGCAGACAGATTTTGCTAGCGCCGGAGGATGACGATGAGTGGAAATTAAGCAATTCAGGTACAGGAATAATGAGAAAATAATAGACATTTTTATATTGTTTCTCTGCCAAGCGTTCAATATAGAAATGCTCGGTACTGAAAAAAAGCGCTAACGTGGTTTAATGTGGTGTCGCGGTTAAATCAAAGAAATTCACATTTACAGTTTCAATAATCGATTGTAAAGTCAAGTGTATAATTTAGGCTGGTTTTAAACTCATGAAGCATGTTTTACATTCGCGGTAAGTGGAATGTGGAAGCTGTTTTGATTGTGGGACATAAAACTTCATCAGACACGAGGACAAAGCAGCGTCTTCGGGTATACCAAGGTGTTGAACTCTATTTCAAACTTGTCGATTACTTACATACAATCCTAAAAACGATGTGTACAAGCATAGAGCCGAGTCAAGATTCCTCATCGGGCATGAACGAAAAAAATATGCTAAAGCTAAACATTCTAATGGATGCAATTAATGCACAGCGAGGGACAAATATTTTAGAAGTCTTATTAAGAAACATGCAAGGGGGCCCACACTAAACACATTTTATTGACCCCGTTGTATTCACTTCACCGGCTTTAGGAAATACAGCAACCACATTTGCCTCTTCTTATTTTTTCACAAACCCTGTGTCATGGAATCTAACATCTGCTTATTTTATGTGGCTGCAGTTGTTACTGCGCTGTTTTTAAGGCCTGCTACCATTATTACCACGAAAATGCACTTTTTTTTACATCGAAAATGTGATTTGGTTCATAGCCTTGCAGTAAAAACAGGCCAACGTTTAGTCAGCATTTTGCTTGAATAATTTTTATAATGTCCAAAATGATTAGTCCTACCTATCACTATGATCGGCATACTCACAATATTCAGTTGCAGGATATTTAACATTTAAATACTGAGATGATTCAGGTCTTAAATTCTTGTGGAGCAAGCCCTCAGTTCATCGCGTCTGATGTTACCAAATACTTTGTTCATGTTTTGCATGTCTTCTCAGGTTGACCTTGTCGATTTCACTCTATTGGTTTCTATCTCTTTCTAGGCATCTTATAAGTGAACCTGTAGGACTCAAACGTTTTTCTTCTACAAAATTGTGAAATTAGTAAGAATAATAAACAAGTCACCTAGTTTCCAGAAATTTATTGGGAATGCTGCTGGTTAGATTCCAACCCAGTCCCATGCAATCCACTTTTGTTCCAGGTCCTTTTGCTCGTGATACCTCAGGCCTTTTTGCCAGACAAGCCGTGAAAAGGCTTTGCGCAACAACTTTAACACTGGATAAACTGCAACAAAAAATTCCCACCAATGGTTTGTTTGAACTTACAAAGTTTTTTATGGATTCAGACAATCTCTTAAAAATGTATTTTACTTAGACTACAACAAGGAGCCTGTGTATGTGTAAAAATCGCCTTCATATGCTTCCTTCGTGGTAGTAAGTGAGCAAATCTGTTTGGTTCGGAAAATGCAAATTTCCGGTCTTGCCTCTGGTGTGCTGTATCAACGCTCTTATTTGAGGAACAACCTGATTAAACAATTTTAATTGGAAAATTTTCAAATCTTACAAACTGCGTCAAATTGTGTGGCTTTGAATCAATGTTACATAAAATCTCCCTTATTTTTCGGCAATTTATGACTTAGAGTAAGCCATTTTAGTTACGTAAGTTTTGCCAAAGTTTAACATGTTGCTCAAAGATTTCGTCACCACATTGATTCTCCTTACCTTGGACTGATCTGTCGAAGTAAAGTCGTTCTGGAAACATCTCGGACGTACTTGAATGCTTAATTCACCTTTCTACCTATCCTTCAGTAATATTAAAAATTAACTGAAAGCATCAATGCCACCTGCATCACCGTGGCACAGCTTCAAATAGAACCCTCAAAAGCAGACTCCAAAAATACGCTTTGCTTGCAGGCGACTTTTGCTAGCCTCGTGCTCTTTTTCCCAACTTTTTTAACTGTCGTACTGCGTTAAATTTAGTTTAGCGTGAATGAAACAACCGTTCTACGTATGGGAGTAATGCAAGAAACTTCAACGTAGGCAAACGTTGCTTCAAATGAAATGATATTTCCTTGACACCTCTTTTGACACCACTGGAAAATAGTAAAACAGGGAATCCAAATGGCCGCTGATCACATTCAAAATCGTTCATTTAAAGGGATAGATTGTTTTCATCTTGTTGTTGCGCTGAGTTGTTGGCCCAAATCAGTATTCATAGGGCCTGTCATTATTATTTTGCCAATCTTGGGAGTTTTGGAGTGGATGTTGCCCTGGGGATATTGCTATATGTCTTAAGTCATGGTACGTCTGAATCAAAAAGGCAGCGCGAGTTTTTAGAGCTAATGCACATCGTATTGCAAGTATGACATCACCTAGCGGAATTTCTGATGATGTGCTAAGTGGAAATTCAATGTGTTTTTTACCTATCTTCAGAGCCTGAGATCCAAGTAACTAGTAACTTTAACTTTCAAAGACAGGCTACAGTTTGTTGACTAAAGAATAACCTTCGACAAGCTCATGTCTAAGCAAGCCTTACGCCAAAAACCATAATGAATGTCGCGAAATTAGCAGAAAATAGTCGTAAATTTGCATAAATCTCCTGTTGGATAAATTGTAGCCGCAAAGATGAAAAGGCACGCAGTTTTCGGTAAATGAACTTGGTGGAGTAAACAAGAAAGTACTTTATCGATGTTACCAGCTGGCTGTCAAAAACCTTGCATTAGTTTGTCAACAATTTAAGGCAGTAGGGGCACAGGGAACATTCTGGCTTTTGCCTAGCGCGAATCAAAACACGTCAGTTGAAACGGAGAACTTGGAAAGTTTCTATTCCAAAGTACACGGATTATGCCGTAGAAAGTTAAGTTTTAAGCCATATTCAGCTGACTGCTCACGACTGGGGTTAGGCTAATTAGTATTCTGAACTCTCCTTGCCCTAGAATTGTTCAAAATGAAAACAAGCAAGATGATGTTTAATCAAGCCCCTATACGATTAAACGTTGAAAGGCTAATTCGGTGAGATGGCTAACCACAAGAGCATCAAAGCGACTTCATTGAAATAAAGGGTGGAGCCGCTTTAGTAAAGTCTGTCAGTTTGACTAGAATTTATAAATCTGTGCCCTTACCTTGTTGAGGGCCCCGGCATGTTGTCTTGAACCATGCCGGGGCCAATGCGATTATCTAGGCCGAATACGTTACCCTGCGTTCCCGCGAAAATATAGAAAACCGGAGTGCGGAAGGCACAACCGTTTACTAGACCGCTCAACCAAGTTGTGTCGTGTACAATTGAGTGACATGTAAATATGAACACCGGCGCTTGTGAGGTCACATGACCAATGCGGGAAGTGGTGGTGGTGATGGTACATTCAGCGGGGTGATGAACCAGCGGTCTCACGTGACAGACGGGCAGGTTGTGAACAGAGGGGACATGTGTGAGGCTGCGACGACTGGGTGTTTAACGTGAATCAACACGATTCACTACAACCTAATCAAATATTTTGATATTTGGATAAAAATTCAAAAGAAGATCGAGACAGTATAAGTCTGGTTTGTATTCCCGGTAACATCTCTAAAGTACGGCAAGGAACCAAACAGAGATCAGACAACAAATTACATTTGAACTGAAGAACCATTTTCGGTTGCAGTGCATCTTCAAAGTCACTTTTGGCTACTGCGCATTGGGTTGTTGATCGACAAAGCAATCGTCCTGTGTAATTGGCGACAAAAGGTCTATCGATGTGCTGGCGTACTTTAGCAGAGTTAATTAGAGGCAGTTTTTTGTCTTCGGTTATTAAGTGGAAATTCAGATTAGGTTCAAGTTTTAAGATTAAGCCGTAAGCTAAGTGCTGGACTTTGTGATTGTTTGTGATGCTGCTGTGAAAATGAAAAGGAATGTTGCGTCGTAAATCGAGGTTGAGAGATAAAACCTTTCAACTCTGCGTGAAAATAATTTACCTGTCAACAGCCTCCAGGAGGCAGAACCAAGTAATCACAAAATTTGCCCTTTTTGAGAACTAGCTTTTACGTAGACGTCTGATCTGACCTGAAGTTCCAGATCGTCCAAAATCTCGGTCACCACAGGCTGAGACACCAACGCCTTTTCCTTGCGGTCCTATGCACCCGTCGCTCGTACCAATCATCTGGCCATTCAATTATTTGTCTCTTTACTAGTACCAACAAGCTGTTTCAATCAATAACCTCTATTTGTCATACATAATCATCATGCACGGTGGCAGACATCGCGGTCTCCTTAATCTTCCTTGGTATCTACGTGGAGTAGGCGAGCCAAGATAACGCTGCGGTTCCGATGCAATTCAAGATCACACACCGTGACCTCAACATGGTTTACCAACCTGAAACTTTCCATCTACCAGCAGGTGGATTAAAGGCAGCGTTGGTGTGTGTCAACGGACACAGCGCGGTGGTCATTGGGGCTCATGGCTCTCAATACACGGTTGAACGGTCCTAGGAATTCAAGTTCTGGAACTCTGAAATCACACTTTGACGAACTAAGAATCAAACCTTACTCGTTAAGACGTTGAAAGACAATGTCCATGTGTTTCAAATGCTCCTTCTGATCTGCACTGGCAACCAGAACGTAGTCAGTACACGAAAAGACAAAATCTAAACCACATAATACGTGGTGGATGAAACGCCGAAATGTTTGGCCTACATGTTGTAAGCCGAAAGACATTCGCACGAACTCAAACCAACCGAATGGCTCAGAAATAAAAATCTTAGGGATAACAGATGATTCAACAGAGTCC